GGCAACCATACTAATGTAGGTATTTTATCAAAAATAAGTCTGGACTTCATTCACTGTACAGAATGTCTTTCTTCAGCAATGAAAGAACATTAACACTAATACCAAAACCCCGGTCTGACAGGCCCACGGGAATTTTCAAAAACGCATGTTGGCAACACTGTTTACTTGGGAGATTCCATTCCTCCAATACCTTCCCCCCTTTTCCTCCCCTACCTATTGATATATTGTTTGTTCATTTTGCATGGGTGCCGTGACCTTGACAGGTTGTCTTTTCATAACGTGTCCGTCTCAGAAGCCCAGCGTTAGTGTATTTTAAAGCGGGGTCTCACAGGCCGAGGGGTTCGGTTTGTGTGTTTCTAAGGGGGGTCCATTATTTTTCAAACGGGGTCTCATAGACCGGGGGTTTCGGTTAACGTCAGCCAAAGTAGGGTTTCGGTATTAGTGTCAAGAACAATTTACTTTGCTAATGTCCATTCCCATATTTCTTTTGGCCTAAGTCTTTATGGTGCAAAAACAAAAATAATATGGATGATATTCTAAAACAAAACAAAAAAATCAATAAGAATTATACTAATACCCCCGCCGCAGCAAACCTGCAGACTAAGCGAATTTCCATTTGATTTACACTGAAATGTCTACTTAAAAATATAACATTTATTCCCGATTTAAATAGAATTAGTTTAACAAGTACTTAGGTTTGCTGCATCAGGGAGGTAAAACTGTTTTTTTTTTGTTAATAGTTAGTAAGAAATAAAAACATTTTTCAAATTTGATCAAAATATGTTCATAAACAAGCAAACTACAACAGTTTACTTATTCCCCATAAGAATAACATGGGAATTTTAAATTTACAATTTTTCGGAATTTTCTCCGTAACCATTAGGCGAATAATAACGCTTCAATATACTAAATTATTTGTTTTTTTAAGCTCTACAAAATGGTTTGGAAAGAAATTGCTAAATTTTATGTTTTTTGGGTCAAAAATGCAAAAAACCTATTTTTACCCCATAAAACCCCGTTCCCATGGTCCGATCATGCTGGATCGCGAACTCGTTCGAATAAACGTAGGTTTACTCGTTTGTACCGAATTTAATCAAAATCAGATCATTTTTGCTCGAGTTATCGTGCTAACGGACACATATATATATATATATATATATATGAATTTGAACGGATGGTGTTTTTGGTCTCTAGGGACCTCGAAACGAAAAAAAGATACCGGTCCCGCGTCCAGGTCTTATCATGAGTACTACGGTAATAGCTTATTCCCTATATGGGAAATTTGCTAATATTCCCTATATGGGAAATTCGCTAAAATTACAACATGGAGGAACAATTTAAAAACCTTAAAATATTAACAGTCTATGGCCAATATATTTATGAAACAGTAAAACCTTACAGTAAATAATAGTCAAACAAGCCTTAATTTAAATGAAAGGCCCCACATTTACAATACAAGACATAAAAAATATAGATTTAAAACATGACACTTAGCTAAGATTTTATGAAAAATACCCCCACCGCAGCAAACCTGCAGACTAAGGGAATTTCCATTTGCCTGATTGAATTCTATAAGTATAAAAGAGGATGTTTGTATATATATTTGGCAGTGATAAACTCAGACACCGCTGAACCGATTGCCACGAAACTTGGTACATAAGTGTAGAATTTCATGGAATAGGTTTATACACCATCAATTTCGTGATCCGTCCAATCGGCTCCGCCCCAGTGGCTCCGGAGTTTCCCATGTTAACCTTATGAGAAATGGAATTAATGAATCTTAACAGCTGTTTCAATTAAACAAGTTGGTTCTGTTCTATGATGTTCAATAGCATTAAAGTTACAAGGATTACCAACAGGGTGCAGCACTATTATTTCTTTTACATTTATGACAACAGCTAATTTGCAACCAAAAGGTGAGTGAGCATAGCGAACAAACTTCAACCTGGAGGCGAGTAAGCGTAGTGAACGAGCTAACCTGAAGGCAAGTGAGCGTAGCGAACGAGCTAACCTGAAGGCAAGTGAGCGTAGCGAACGAGCTCCAACCCAAAGGTGAGTGAGCGTAGCGAACGAGCTCCAACCTAAAGGTGAGTGAGCGTAGCGAACGAACTTCAACCAGGATGTGATTGAGCCATGCGAACGAGATCATCTTGAAAATTAAGAAGTTAAACGGGGCAAAGCCCGCGGGTTACAGCTAGTTTACTCTAAAATATCTCCTTAACAAATATCACATCTATTCCCCATTTAAATAGCATTGGTTTAACGAGTACTTAGGTTTAAGGTTTGCTGTGACATAGGGAGGGTAATTTTTTTAAATGTTACTAGCTTAAGAAATGAATACATTTTCTTAATTTGATAAAAATATAGTCATAAACAAGCAAAATACAACAGTTTACTTATTCTCCTTTAGAATAACATGGGAATTTTCAATTAAGGCTCCGCTCTACCTGCACGGCAAACTCGCATTACAGTTCGACCAACTGCCGCATGGCGCGCTCCTCGGCCAGGCGCGTGAGGGGAAGGGACACGGCCTCCGTGGAGGGGATTAGTTGGAGGCAGCCACGGTACACAACAACAAATGCTCGCTTATCACTGCGCTCAACTCTGCCACTACAACCGTTGGCTACTCACACTGACCACTGACTATTAATTGTGCTTACAGCACCTATGAAATCTCAAATATTATAGCTTAATATCTTCCATTTAAGTATTAAGCTTGCTGATTTTACCACAAATTTTATTCACCCTCTCTTGAAAGTTAATCTATATATATAAAATCCAATGTATGTTTGTTTGTATGTATGTATGTTTGCTTGTCCTTTATGGACTCCGAAACCGCTCGACAGATTGTAATGAAACTTTCAGGCATTATTAAGCATTATTCAAGGATGGTTTGTGTGAAGTTTGGTGCAGATCCGTCAAAAGGGCTCCGCCCCAGTGGATCTGGAGTTTCCCATGTTAACCTTATGAGTACTCAAATGTGTTTATGTAAATTTAGATTAAGAAGTTTCTAATCATCATCATCCAATAATATCAATCATTTAATGTGACCCATAACTAGCTTTAAATATGATTCATACTAAATGATTCATGAATTCCATTTCATATTCGTTCGAAATTTGTCTTTCATTCCATATCATACAAATTTCTGAGGAGATAAATTGTAATATTTCATGTCATTTCATTCATTATTTAGTATTAAGTTTCTTAAAATGTTAACTTTTGTTCATACACCTTTGTTAATAATCACTCCTCAGAAAGGCTGGCCTAATATTCATTTTCCTAATTTATATAATTTCATTAATATGTTCAATTAATCATTAATAATATTCATTCCATAGCCTATATATATATATATATATTTTTTTTTTTTTTTACAAAGCCCACAACTTAATTATTTATTAAATATGTAAGAGAATAAATACATCAAAATTTCTTATAATATCATTTCAAAATTAGTCCTTAAGGAATCAAAATTTAAGAAGCAGTGAAAGTGATCCCATGTGTTCAACAATGAATGATGTGAACATTGAGATTGGAGAGAAGGAAGCCATTGGAGAAGTTGAAACTGTTAGTTAGAAGAAGGAGTCCAAATTTATCTAAATCAAATTCATTAATATAATCAAGAAGACCAGTTTATATCAAGTTATATCACAGTAGCCTAAACCTCAAGAGGACTCAACTCCATCATTGTTATCTTCAAAATTAAGTATAAACTTTTTTTTTTAATCTTTTAAATTCAGTACTAATTGGACTTACCTTTTGGACAACATCTAAATTAGATTTTTCATTGTTGGAATTTGTAAGTTTAACATCTTAATTAGGCCTATTTGGACACTATTAAATTTATTAATTCTTAGCATTCAAGCCAGCACGACACCCTACCCTGAGATATATCACATCTAAAGTATTTGAACCTTTATTATTCAAACTTATCTTATTTTATTTCATTTTAATCTCAACCCCACACACCATTGTCAGTCCTTTCATTGTAACGTCAAGCCTTTTCTCATTGCATGTTTGTTCATTTTTTTTAAATAAAATACCTTTTGTAATTCATATATCTTTGTTAATTTATTAACTTTAAACATTTATGGAATAGGCCTAGCCTAAAATGAATATTGTAAGGTGAGTTTACAACATTCATCAAATTTGTTGTATAGTAAATATCCATACCTATAATATGCGCTATCACAAATATTTGGGGGAGCGAGCTGGTCTAGTGGTTAGAGCGCGGGACTCCGGTTCCTGGGGTCCCAGGTTCAAATCCCGCCAAATCACCGATGGATTTTATCGAAGTGATAAGCCTGAAGTAATGTGAAAAATAATTCCAGGCTCGTGCCTAGTGACAAAATTAAATCATAAATATTTAAATGTAATGGTAATTTATATGTTAGAAACATTGTAATCATCCTGAGACTTAGTCACTAAGCATTGACACTATTTAATTGTAGGTATACAATGTATATTAAGTGAATAAAGAATATTTGAATTCACGCCAAGCATGAATGGATATTAGTGTAGGATGCGTGGCGCGATCTTGTAGTCTTGTTATTGACTAAGGCCGACATGTTCTTTAGACACAGCTGTTAATTAAAAGCCCATACAGCCAATGGCAACTAAGGGACCTACAGTTAATAGTAGAATCCAAACCACATTTTTGCCTTGTAATTAACGAATTGGTCTATTTATCAGGATAGTACAGCGGATAGTTGTACTCACTAGTGTGGACGTTAATTTACACCAGGGAAAATCGCATCCTCAGTGCATACCTATAAATATCCATAATTGATTATGTCTTAGTAGCTGGATTACAGGACGACGCTACCGTCCCAGTTGATTCAAACACTTCACACCCTTTAAATTAATAATATAGAGGCCCTACTGTGGTAAAAATAACAATGTCTATTGACAATGCTTTTTAGACTGTTACACACAAAATATAAGAGTAGATTAATTATTGTCATTAAGACTGTATAAACTAAACTTATATTTTTCAGATTCACATCAACCGTACAACTTGAGGATCCAGGGCCAGCTTCTAAAACTACAGAAAAGCTTTTAACTCTTTTCAAAGAAAAGTTGAAGGGATGGGAAATGCAGAGTACTGACGACTCAATACAAGTTGACTCAGTGTTCGTAAAAATTGAAGGTGCAGAAGATGAACAAAAGACTGTTTTTGTTTCATGGACTAATCAAGAAGAAGATTTAGGTTCTTTCATTGTTGATGTTTTACGCAACATGGGTTGATTAAAAATATGTTTAACCAGTTTTCTTTTTATGTATGTAAAATAAATTACCAAATATATAGTTTACCACCCTTATGAGACCATCCCGAGCTTTTGCTATCTCATTGGACGAATGAGCATTTTCAGGCTGTCTCACTGGGCGACAGCCGTTAAAGGCCTCTTTTATGCATGTCCTTTTCCGTCGGGTGGAATCTTAGGCCCCTTTTATGCAGGTTTTCCGCCGAACAGAATCCGCTGGTTTTTTATGATTCCTGAGGGGGGGGGGTGCCAGTGCTGCCAACTTTGTTCATTTGGCCATCATCAGTCACCCAAGTTGGTTATAGTTGGTGGATAATTGGTTTTGATTTGCGTGTGAAAAAAAAATTATGACAAGGAAGGAGGTGGGCTCAAGCCCGTTAACCAAACCCCGGTGAATCAAGAGACTTTCACACACTTTTATGGTATGCTGCAAAATGATCAAGAAAAGTCACTAGTGTGTGAGAATGTGGTTTCCCAGAAGTTGATGTTTGATGGAAGGGTGGCTGGCAGCAATGATAGTATTGGTAGCTGTTTTACATTGTTTCACTGTTAGCCAATGGGATGGGGATTTACCTTTGATACTAAAATTTTCATTTCAGTCCCAGGAATAGAAAAGTCCTCTTTTTCCCACAAAACAGTACAGCTGTATTACTCCGAGATTTCTAACAAAAATGTAAGGTTAATTATTCTTGCCCTGCAAGCTTTTTTTCAATTACATCACTTCTTTATTTGTAACCTTCAATCTAATAAAATTATCATAATATACAAGAGTTTACAATGATTAGGCTATTTCGATACTGTGGATAACAGAGCGCAGGGTAGGTGGTAGCGCTGCATTCACAGACATCAAGTTAAAATAGTATTTTTGATTAATTCGACTATGCTAACACGTCGTGAATTAAAAAATTATCGTAGTTTTTCTTAGAAAAATAAAAAAACACGGAAAAACTATGTATATCAAAAGACAAATTTTTAAAGGTAGGCGCTACCTATTTAAATGGTGCCAGAATGTTAAGCTGAATGTATGTACTTACTAGGTAAGACCCATCAAAATCAACAGTTACTCTTGAAGCTTCACACAAATTCTGATTTCAAGAAGCTTAAACTTTTTTATCAAATCAGCAACCGTTAAAAAAGTCGTGCCATGAACGAAAAGCCATCAATTACTGTTGTACAAAATATTGTAATGAGGGGGCCTATATTACCCATCGTCGGGGAAATTTATGGAACATTAGTCCCCATGTAGTACAAACTGTTCCCTGTGAGATTGAGAGTCCAAGTGCTGAGGAAGATAACGAGAACGCCCCCTTGTAGCCCAGGGAGACGAGATCTACTACCCCTGTATGTGATGAGGAAAAGTGTAGGACCACTTTGTCTTGTCAAATTAGGAAAGATTGGGCCTTTGCAGAGGAAATTGGAAATTAAATGTAAGGTAAGAATCCAAAGTCTTGTTTTTATTCTGAGCTACCCCCCCCCCCCTGTTTTGTTCTGTTCACCTGAGGGGTCGTGACAATATCCTCTAAAAAAACTTAGTATTGTATTGAATCATCATATATTTCAAAATTGAAAAGTAAATATTTACAAAACAACATAAACAAATAACATGTGAACATGTAATTAACACTCAGACAAAATGAATTGCATATGTACTCTTCCTTGAAACTCGTCCTCTTCCTTTTAGCGAATTTCCCTTATAGGGAATAAGCTATTACAGTAGATCTCATGGTAAGCCCGAGACCGATTTACTTTTTTGTTTTGAGGTCCCCAGAGGCCAAAAACACCATCCGTTCAAATTCATACATATGTAGCCTATATATTATTTTCTTGCATGTTTAGGGGGCTACTATAATATAAACTAAAACTAAATGAATATAAACCAACCTATCTACGACAAAATAGAAAAACTCAGGGAAAACATTAAATATAGTATAATGAAGAAACAAATACCAAAGATATAATTAAGATTTATATAACATAAGATATTTTCTATAAAACTGTTTTGGAAACTAAGTCCATTATCAAGTCATATTTACCATAACCTCATTCTTAAAACTAACAAAATTAATAATATAATCATACATAAAAATAATGTATTTACCATAACCTCATTCTTTTTTTTACAACTTTTATTTTTGGTTCAATATTACATTATTCACAGAAGTTTTAACAAAATAGAAAAAAAATAACATAGCGGGTTCGCTCAAACTAGAGGCACCCTGTAATATAGAAAATCTTTAGGCTTCGTCCAAACCAAGTCTTGGGGAAGCCTTCAGCGCAATCTTCTATTTTCTGTGGTTTCGCCAAGATTGAAACCTCATTCTTAAAACTAACAAAATAATAATATAATCATAAGTAAAAATAATTTAAATAGAAAATATCTTATGTTATATAAATCTTAATTATATCTTTGATATTTGTTTCTTCATTATACTATATTTAATGTTTTCCCCGAGTTTTTCTATTTTGTCGTAGATAGGTTGGTTTATATTCATTTAGTTTTAGTTTATATTATAGTAGCCCCCTAAACATGCAAGAAAATAATATTAAAGGCTACATATGTATGAATTTGAACGGATGGTGTTTTTGGCCTCTGGGGACCTCAAAACAAAAAAGTAAATCGGTCTCGGGCTTACCATGAGATCTACTGTAATAGCTTATTCCCTATATGGGAAATTCGCTAAAAGGAAGAGGACGAGTTTCAAGGAAGAGTACATATGCAATTCATTTTTGTTTATGTTGTTTTGTAAATATTTACTTTTCAATTTTGAAATATATGATGATTCAATACAATACTAAGATTTTTTAGAGGATATTGTCACGACCCCTCAGGTGAACAGAACAAAACAGGGGGGGGGGTAGCTCAGAATAAAAACAAGACTTTGGATTCTTACCTTACATTTAATTTCTAATTTCCTCTGCAAAGGCCCAATCTTTCCTAATTTGACAAGACAAAGTGGTCCTACACTTTTCCTCATCACATACAGGGGTAGTAGATCTCGTCTCCCTGGGCTACAAGGGGGCGTTCTCGTTATCTTCCTCAGCACTTGGACTCTCAATCTCACAGGGAACAGTTTGTACTACATGGGGACTAATGTTCCATAAATTTCCCCGACGATGGGTAATATAGGCCCCCTCATTACAATATTTTGTACAACAGTAATTGATGGCTTTTCGTTCATGGCACGACTTTTTTAACGGTTGCTGATTTGATAAAAAGTTTAAGCTTCTTGAAATCAGATCTCATCATACTTTATACGGGCTTTTGATGAACCCCTTTGACTATTGATCTCAGTATCCAATAGTCAATGATGAACCGCAACAACACATCTAAACCTCACTACATACATAACTTTCGGAAATACAACAGTGCCATTACATCTCATCTCATTTGTATAATTTGTTGCCAACAAAGCCGGACTAGTCAATGAATGTGGTCACTAAATGTTCAAGACTAGTGGCCAAATTCACTACAATTTTTGTCCACTCCATCCACAAAATACATGCACAACTTTATGGGATCGATACGGCCAAGGCAATGGACCCTCACATGTTAATAAAGTTCAAGTTTTACAGTAACCTCGTTGCACGATTTAACAAAATTATGCCAGAAGTTAATCAATTAGCAAAGAAGTACAGGACGATGGACAACAAAGCAAAAGCAAGAGAAGGAATCAAAATTGCACAGCCTAAAAGTAGACCCCCGTCGAAGTAAGTGTTACTGCTTTCTGGAGAAACAGATATTTTTATGAAATACAAAAAATATTTAATCTGCCAATCCCAGACAGCACACTTTCTCCTCAGGACATCCCACGGATATTGCGACAGGATATGCAAGATATCCCATAGTGGTCCTATGGGCAACTTGGGATATCACAGGATATCCACAGGAATGCCTCATGTCCCCGCCCGGGGATGTCCTACGGATAAGCTCACACGCATATCCGTGGGACATCCGAGGTCATCCCAGGGTAGTCCTCAGGACATTCTCAGGACATATGGGACTACTATGGGATGTCCCTGGGATAAAGTGTGGTCTGGGCCTGAACATAAAAAACACAAAATAATATAGATTTAGTATGAAAAGCTTAATTATAAGTTTAGTAAATTGATTAAATAGTTAATAAACACAAATTTTGAAGAAAAAAACGAGAAAAAGGTTTTTGGCCCAGACGGGTTTCGAACCTGGTACCTTCGCCTTGTGAGCCTCTTACCTTACCTCCTGAGCTATCTGCGCTTGTTGATTATGGGTGTTTTCAAGTGGTTAAATAGTAGCCGACAGTTGCAATGGTCGCAATACTTAAAATATTTTTGATACTACAGTACAGGCTATATATGATTCTGTTAATCTGTTTAGGCCTCAAGTAGTTGAATTGTTTTTCTGGTAGTTGGAGAGGATACTGGTATTTGAATATAGATTATTTAATCACCATTAGATTAGCACTGTAATAATTGATTGTTATATGATTAAAATTAGTTTTTTGTTGTTTTATTAATTTAAAGTTAGAATTAAATTCACATTCCACACAACTATGATAGAACTCTAGTTTTCCTGAACTCAGTGGTAGTAATATGTCAGTAAAGTAAAGTCAACCCTTGCTAGCCATAGTATTAACAAGACATATTTTCAATCTGGGAAACCTTAAACTTTTAAAATAAATTATAAAACCTCAACATCTTAATGCGTGGGAATCTTATTTTTAGAAAAAAAAAACAGACCAAAACTATTTGTTAAATAATGAAGACGGCCCAATTATAAATTCGGAATTACTGAAAATAATTACATCAAGAACAACACTGTAACATTTCCAAAATTCAAAAGATTAATTTTTCTAATATTATTTTTTGTTTTTCCAATATCCTTTAAATCATCTGTTTTAACTTTGTTTAAAATTAATTTATTAAGTAAATATTTACTTTTTGTACTACTGTAAACACAACCTGAAGATGGAAACCAAGTTTCTGAAAGCACTAGTGAAAAAAACAAATTATTATATATTGGCCTTGTTGAACATTTAAATTTAGATATACTGTACATTTCATCAGTGGTAGTATTTTTTTTTCTTCAGTTTGTTACCGGGACATTACGGGACATTACAGGATATCCAGTGGATTTTGTACATGTCCCGGGATGTCATGGGACATTCTGGGATATCCTATGGCATTCGTACATATCCCGGGACTTTACAGGATATCCTGAGGTTAACTTACAAATCCCGGGACATTACGGTATATTGTAGGATATCCTGTGGATTTCGTACTCGTCCCGGGATTTTGCGGGATATCCTGAGGATAGCCCACATATCCCGAGACATTCTCAGGACATATGGGACTACTATGGGATGTCCCTGGGATAAAGTGTGCTGTCTGGGTGATAAAAATTATGTATTGTTTATGACCAAAGATGGCAATTCACTGATACAATCTGAAACATTCTCTTAAAGCAGATGGAACCAGTTGTCAGTAACATTAGACTCCCTCCGCCAGATGACAGACCAATTATATTAACTTCCTTTAATTTAACGAAGATTTAATAGTTTCACTCTATCCATCACAGTAAGCTAAATTTGTGTGAAGCTTCAAGAGTAGGCCTAACTGTTGATTTTGATGGGTCTTACCTAGTAAGTACATACATTCAGCTTAACATTCAATTACCTTCACCTATTGAACTAATGTATTATTATCAATTAATTGCATGCACCCGTTTTTCGTTTTAAATCTTACAAGTATGTATACTCTCAACATATTATAAATTATTTTCTACTTTTTAGTGCGTTTAAAAACGTTTTGTTTTAAAATAAATTTTTATTTTTAAATTATTAGTCTATGTTAAATATATTTTATATTGCCTGTTAATATATAATCAAAACCTTATTATCTCTAATCAGATGTTTTTAATCAAAACCTTATTATCTCTAATCAGATGTTTTATCTTAATATTTTTTAAATATATCTGGAGCAGAACCTGTACCTCTAAACCTCTGCTCTTCGAACTGTCAAATTTAGGTATTTACAGCTGACTTAAATTAATTGGTATGTTTACATTCTTTCAAAATGTAAACATGGAAAAATGTGGAAGCCCATGGGGCGTATCCCAAGGGAAATATGAAAATTAAATGATATAATATTGCATTGTCATCCATTTGTGAGCTATGTTTCAAATTTCAAGTCTCTAGCTCATCGGGAACTTCGTTTAAGATTGATGTCAAAATTTGTAGGAAAGCGACTAGCGAGCTAATAAAAACAAGCCCATGGGGCGTAGCCCAAGGAAAATATGAAAATTAAATGATATAATATTGCATTGTCATCCATTTGTGAGCTATGTTTCAAGTCTCTAGCTCTTCGGGAACTTAGTATAAAATCGATTGCAAAATTTACACCGGACAAGAAAGCGAGCTAATAAAAACGTTTTAAAAATAATATTAACTATTTTTAATATTCAGTTTTATGTCCGTGATGATCGTGACAACATTTCGTGTTTTTCCATCAAAGATGCTTTATTAATAAAAAATTACCATAGATATTGCATTACCATGGACATTTTATGAAACTTCAAATGTTAATGAAACAAAATAAATAATAAAAGTTTAAAAAAACGGAACAAAAAATTTTTAAAGTGCTTTTCCTGAAAACGTACGTTTCTAAATTTTCACTCTTGCATTTATAAAAACCTACTGACCTGAAAGTATTCAGTAACTGGCTTGAAAATAAGTGTTCTATTATGAGTATTTATTTTTGTCCGGAAGAGACAACTTGGAAGAGAAGTGACCCTAAACACGTTTTAACTGATTCGCCCACTGAAAACGTGCATGTTTTGCTCGGAAAGTAATGAAACCGATAAATGTAAGCTTTCCAGAAAAGCTGAAGTCGCACAACGGTGGAAGATGATAATTGAGAAAAATACTATGCAAAAAGTTGTGAAATTTTTTAAGTTAAAGAAACCTTGTGGAACGGAAAAATTAGGTGTCAGCGGTAGCGTTGAACCCCTTACCACTTGTTGGTCTAATGTAACTAAACATTTTGACCCAACGTCCAGACAAGTTGAACTTAAAATAAAAGGGCTCTACGAAGAAGAAGTTTTCACATTAAATAAGGTAAGAATTCAATCAACTGTAGTTTCCACTGATGCAAAACTTATCTCTCTACATAAATTACTATGTCATCCTGGTGTTTTAAGACTTAGCCACTGGATACACAAACACCAAGAATCTGCACAAACTGTTGCACTGTCTTACAAATAAAAAAGATGAAAATACAAAAAATCCTGAACCAACTAAAGTACAAACAAAGCATGTAGTATACCCAGGAACAATGGCAAGAGTTCTCTTAAGAGTTCTCTCTGTAACTTTGGTTGGCAAAAATTGAGTGAACATTTTCACATGTGAACATACACACTTATTGATGACGGCTCAACCATTTCCATGATTGAAGAAGATTTGGCAGAAGAAAACCTGTATTGTTCTCATGGACAGATGTGTCTGTTTATACCCAAGAGCATCTCAGACCATATTGGTAGTTCTTGGAGAAACAGGAGAAGAGTTATTACTGAACAATGTGAGGACATTGAGAGAGTTGCAGCTACCAACAGCATTAATCAAAGACAACTAACTTGCCCCCATTTACTTGCTGGTTTCTTTCCTTTGTTGGCAACACTTGATTATCTACAAGCCCTCCTGTCTTTGGCAAGAGTAGACAACTTCACAAGAAATTTCACTTTATTCAACTGAAAACATAAACATTTACAATGCTATATAGTTAAGTTAAAATTCTATGCCGAAAGGGATGAATAAATAATTCAAAAGAATTTGTTGGTTCTGTATTTGATTAATGCTTTGGTTTTATTAACTGTCAATGTGTACAAAATCCTATATTCATATATTCATACGACATTAGATTATACATACTGTTTCCAATGCATAATAAGAGTGATCCCTTTTAAGTTTTCTTACTACACAAAAAGTAAAAATGTGGGAATAATAACTGCATAGGAAAACTATGATTAAAGATTAATTTTTAGGAACACAAGTTAAATAATTTATAATAATTAACACAATAATTTGTAACAATCAATATAATAATAATGGATACAAAACTAACCAACAATACAAATTTGACTTAGTCCACAGCGCTCAATGATTTAAACAATAATAAATTATGTCACTTAAAATAAATCATACACGGGTTTAAAGATAAAAATATATTAAATACATATATCTCTATACAATATTACTATTAATAATAACTGATTTATAAATATTAACCAATTATTCAACAAGTCAAGTTTCTGTGAGTGACATGGCATAGAGCCTTGAAATATTTTTATTTTGAAGAAAAAACATATCACTCGGCACAATGAATGTTCAACCAAATCTATACAATGACATCTTTAACAATAAACAAGATTGGTGAGTGTCCAGGAAGGCAACTGTTGGTATTCCTGGAGCCATTGGAATGCATTGAGCAAGGTTCTAGACTATGGTGTCTCCAATGATGGTGATGATCCCACCCTGGGGGCAATGGCATTAAATCAGAATTAACTACTGAACAGCTAACACACTGGAGTAATAGATGAATAGCTTAAGCATAAGAAATAACTTAATTAGCAATTATTTTTAAATTAAAAAAGAAACACAGTTTTTAACATTGTTTTCAGTAATGATGGGAGAGAAAAAAATCAGTGCAATAATATTTCAAATTACATTGATTTTGATTACTTAACAGTTAACACATTCACTATTTGGTCTCACAACGTCCCTCATACAGAGCAGTGTGACGGCTGGTAGGCAACGTGTTAAATTTACTTATATCTTAAAAATTATTAAAGTATGAAATTTTGTATAGGCCCACAATTCATTTGCTATTTGACCAAAAATCATTAAAAATATATATTGGTTTCAAAATTGGGGCCATTTTAGCAAATATCCCATGGGGAATAAGCTATTACTGTGGATCTCATGGTGAAACCTGGGTCTGGGACCAATTATTTTTAATTTTGATGTTCGCAGAGGCCAAAAACACCATCTGTTCAAATTCATACACATATGTGTGTGTCTGTTAGCACAATAACTCAAGCAAAAATCATCTGATTTTAATAAAATGTTCGTACAAATGTGTAAACTTGCATTTATTTAAACAAGTTTAAAAACCAGCATGATGGGACCACGAGAATTTTGTGGGAGTTTTATAAGGTAAAAGTGGGTTTTTCTGATTGTTGTAATATTACATGTCATTCATTCATCATTAACATTAATTTCTCTATTATTTTGTATATTTTCTGCTGTAATGTTTGTTAATGTCCCTATTAATGTGTTATCAGTTATTTAATATGTTTCTCCTTGTTAATATGTATTATTTCATCCAATTTTGTTCAATGTTATATAATATTCCATCACCCCACAGAAATATCATCCTATTTTATGTTACAATATAATATTTATGTCAATTCTCACCATATCCTGTACTTATCAAAAGCCAACAATAATAAAATTTACTTAGTATCTATTATATTATTAAAGTGATACAATCAATTTTATGTAAACGATTAAGGCCATTTACCAGATAAAAATATAGGCATATGACATATCAAAATGAAGCTTAGAGTGTGTAGATTTGCCGAAAAATATTGATATGGTTAAACTCCCTAATGGCTCTGCCCTACAGGCTGATTTCCAAAGGGCTACGCCTTGCATGTTTTGGGATTTATCGTTATTAGATTAATTTAGTGAACAACAGCTGGCCAATGCAATTGACAATATAGTTTTCCTAAAGTTACCTAACAATGTACATGTTCTCTTGCTGATTTGAGAAAGCAAAGTGGCCAATTCGCTCATCAGTGAGACAATGTTAACATTGTCTCACTCTAATTACTTTGTCTCACTCCAGATTTTCAACGTGAATGCACAAAATAGTGAGCACGTAACATGCAGGCATCGTCGTATGCGCGCGAAATACGTTGGCAGCACTGGCTGTAAATCAGCTGTTGTACTGTTGTATTTGTCACTTAACATGTTAAAAGTTCACTTCTGTGTAAAAATAGGTTATGTTTCGTCAACAATTTATTTGTTTATGGTAACTGTAGGAAAAGTATAATGTGCAACTCGAGTTCAAAGTACAATTGCCTCACTCGAGAAACCATTCCTCACTCGCCTACGGCTCGTGAGTAAGGATTTCTCTCGAGTGAGTCAATTGCTCACTTTTCTCACTAGTTGCACAAATAACTATTGTTGTTTACATTTTTGTTTACTTATTTTATTATTTACTTTTATGATCTTAAAAGAGGTGCGGTGAATGGAACAGTGAAGCTACAAGTGAATGATTAAAGGTGTTCGAAACACGATGAATATGAGATTAAAAAACCATGTATGCTGTTCGTTCCAAGAGGTTGTCACCGATCCTTAACAGGTCGCCATTTCATTGAAAAGTATTAAAGTAAAGTAAAGTATTAAAGACGTCGTGAAAGAGAGCGGTGAGTTTAGGTAGGTACAACCGTACCCACCTCGGCCACCTTAGGACGTAAGGTAAGAAGGTTCCACTGCTTTTAACATCCTTTCAGATGACAATTTCTCAAACTTGGGCCTTTTAAATGAAATATAATGTCAAAGATGATTAAATTAATTTAATGGTGGCTTCTGTACATCCGTGAATTCGCGGGTAGAACCTCTTGTAATATATAAAATTGTTAGAAAATTGCAATATAATAATAACATCTTAAATATAGTATTACTTTTCAAAATTATCCAATGAAAATCAAAATTACTGTGGCAAGTGTCATTTATGTGAATTAACCAGCTGTACATTATTTCAACAATAGACATGGACTTCCTGAGCTTCAACCATTGTCTCTCCCTAGATCCTGCCAACTCTTGACATTCCATTTTTTTGTTTTGTCATGAGAGCATGAATCTCCCTGACTGCAAGCCCGGTACCTATAATTAAACATACCCGGGCCCCATGATGTAGGCCGAAGCTAATGCACCAACCTTTGGCACATCATGGGAGGATGACTTAACCCTCCGAGTGTCATGCGTCGCTGCAGCGACGCGTAACGCACTTTGTATAGTGTCGTGCGTCGCTGCAGCGACTCGCGAACACTGTTTACGGCGAAGGCTCTATGACTAACTGAATCGGACTGTACTGGATTGAGTTAGGTATCGTTCTGTCCGTAATATTCTAAGCTTTCTGCAGAGGTCTGTCTCTAAGCACTATTCATTTTAGTTCCGAAAATATTGTAGCAGACAGCTGACTGAGCTGACGTGCGTGTATTTGTAAACAGCTAGGTTACCCTCGGACCGATGACTGATGTGTTTTATTACGTTTATCATTGTTTTAGTGTTAAAAATCAAAAGTAGTGATATACGTGGTGCATTATAAGAAGATTTAAGTGGTTTTGAAGTGCTGGTTGATGATCCTGAAGAAGTAGGTAGTAATATTGATGTAAATTATCAGCCAGATTCCTAGCTATGGTTGGGCTATGCATTCTTAGCTAAACGCTATGTACTGAAATCTGTTTTTTGCCCATAACTTTTTTATTTGCAAATCTACTTCCTTATATTATTATAGATTTGTAATCCTCATAAAATTTAGAACAAAGTGGCTATTTTCAAATATTTATAGGCCTATAATTTATACAATTTCATTGAGCGCAAACTTATTTTTTTTTGAAAATTTTCGAAATTATACATTTTTTTACCTAAAAAATTTTTTTTTTTTAAATCTTCCTTATGTTTTATATATAATATTGAAGCCCAAGATTTTCCAAACAAAATGGTATATAGAACAGTATAATTAACATTGTTTTTAGGCTTCTCAGATCAGTTTTAATAAAACCTTGCAAATGAGCAAAAAATAGGCTGACATTAAGGCCAAAACACGTGACACTCGGAGGGTTAAGGTCATCAGGCTCACCGGCTGCCGAAGCAAACCCTTCGGAGAGAGGGTTTCCCCTCAATCCTAACCAGGGATACCGGCTATTTTTTTAAGCGTCACTCCACCTGGGTTCCCCCAGGTACAAAACCCAGAAGGACCATAATGGAATGCCCTGACGCATTTAGTGCAAGCAACTAGCCCAGTCAATGAATGCAATAAAACACCCTTTTTCGCAACTAAATGGTGGAAAGCTGGATTTTGTATATGTGATAGAACCACATGAGAGGTGTATTTTCCCAAACGTCCCCACTTCTACCCCTTGAGCTTTCCCCCCAAACCTAGAAATTGCAGTGTTTTACTTAATTGATCATAATTCGAATGCTATGTAAGCTATCGAGCTGCAAATTGTTTTGTTTGATTTTTGATTAGTTTTCCTACAACTTTTGTTTTTATAACATTTTTCTAAAACCAATACTTAGGGAGATATAGAATTTAAACTTCGTTAAAAGTGTCTTTTAGAGTGCAAAATTTTGTTTTTCTCTTTGTATACTTTTAAATAGAAATAATACGCAAATATGGTTCAAGCAAAAGTTTTAGTACGTTTTTCAAAGTTTACAAATATATTATTGGTTAGTCATCTAGGTGACCGGGTGAAGAGCTGGGCGTCGGCAAAGAGAGCTAGTGCGGGGTAGTTGAACACCTCTGCGCTGCGTCATCGCATCTAGCCCAGCCAATAAACGCACAAACTGCCTTTTTCCTTAGCTAAATAGTGGAAAGCTTAGTTTGTTATATGTGATGGAACCACTTAAGACGTGTATTTTAAAAAAGTTCCCGATTCTCCCCCTTGAGCTTCCCCCCCCCTCAACCCCCTCGAAACCTGGAAATTACAGTCGTTCACTTTACTGGATATAAATCAAATTCTACGCATGCCATCGTAGTGAAATTTGATTTGTATTATTTAATTTAGTTTATCTACGACTTTTGTACTAAAGGTTTTCTTATAAAACTATATCCAATGAGATATAGCATTTTAAATTTGTTTGATAATGTTTAAGTTTTAGAGTACACAATTTTGTTTTACCCGCAATATTTTTTTTTTTCAAATAAAATACGCAAAATGTTTCTAACAAAAATTTTAGTACGTTTCTTAAGGTTTATAAATATATATATTTGGTTAGTCGACTAAACGAACTGATGTAGTGTGGGGCGTCGGCAAAGACAGCGCGTGCAGGCTTCTTCAAAGCATCCGCGCAGCGCAGCTCCGCCCGTCGATGCGTCACGTCGTAGGTACCGACATCGCTAAGTTCTCTAACTGCGCCTCGCGGTCAGTAAAGATCCAAACAGTAAACTGCAAAAAATTTTAATTAGATGAAACCTAATCATTTGTACATTTCTTTAATGTATTGTTAGTTTTAACTCGTTTCTCATTTAAAATAATAATTTATTTAATTATTTCTGTCAACGGCTACACCTATTGACAATAATATACATGGATACATATATTACATTACATAAAGCTGGGTAAGAAACATACTGAACCCAATGATGAGATGACCCAATTCGCCTATGGGTCTATGGATGATTGGAGTGTCGAATTGAAATCTACCACCACTTACCATCTTTTATGTACATTTACAGTATT